GAGCACTGCAAGCAGTGCATCCTGACGAGTTTGAATTTTCGCGCGAAGGTCACACAGTCTCCCAGTCTCACGAGAGATCCAACCCATTACCAAGTGATATTGACGATGCGGTAGGGCCTTGCCTTGAAGTCATGTTTAGGAGATTGAAAGTATAACAAGGCGCAAGGCATCAGGCATCAGGGAGAAAGGAGAGAGGGAGAGAAGGAAGAGAAGGGGAAGAGGGTGGCGCGAAGGGTGCATTGGAGGTGTCAAGTGTGCTGGCCTTGACGTCGTGTACCGGTTGGGGACGTCAGTGTAGGGGTGGAGGAGTGTGAAGGGGATGTGCGTATGGGTGCGATGGGCCGTTACGTCGTGCACCTGTGCATGGACCGGGCGAGGGCAGGGAGGTGTTCTCTGCCCTCGCCCGGTCATCCTGTCATCCACCCTCTGTGGCACGGGCCCGGCCTTCTCCACACGACAATGTCACACAAACCAAGAAGGAGGAACATCAGCAAGTCATGCCGAAGAAGAAGAGAGAGAGAGAGAGTGTGTGTGTTTGCGAGAGAGGAGAGAGATAAAGTATGAATTGGTCAAGAGAAAGGGGGAAAGAGAATAGCATAAAGAGAGGGAGAGAGAATTGGTTCGAGCAAGAGGCATAAAGAGAGAGAATTGGTTCGAGCAAGAGGCATAAAGAGAGAGAATTGGTTCGAGCAAGAGGCATAAAGAGAGAGAATTGGTTCGAGCAAGAGGCATAAAGAGAGAGAATTGGTTCGAGCAAGAGGCATAAAGAGAGAGAGAGAGAGAGAGAGAGTAGAGAGAGAGAGAGAGAGTAAAGAGAGAGAGAGAGAGAGATGAATTGGTTTGAGAGAGAGAAAGACGTATTTTTTTTTTGCACACCCACGAGAGAGATCGCATTTGACGTCGTTGACGCAAACAACAGCGGTGTTGGTTGTGAATCGGCTGTCACAGAGACAGTGTGTGTGCGCGTGAGGGTTGTCGTGTTGTCTGGGTGTGGGGGCCGAGGTGCAGCATTAGGCGGGGGGTGTGGTGGCGGTTATCTGATCGCTGCCTGCACTGTCAACGGCAGCCATGTTGCTGCCTGAAGGCATTCCCATGGACAGCGCCGTCGCGCGACAGCGCTTTCGACGCATGCAGCAGACGGCCGCCGAGGCCCGGGTCAATCATGTCAAGTTGGACGATCTGGCCAAGATAGAGGAGCCAACCATCCTCACGCCCAAGCGCGTCTCCTTTTGCGTCCTCATTTCCACCGTCTTCTGCCTCATCTACCTGTGGTTCCGGCGTGGCATCTTTGCCGTGTGGGATAGCCTGGCTTTTACTCCCGCCAGCCTCGTGGAGGGGGCCCTACCTACCCCAGGTCATAGTCTAAGCGACGAAGATCAATTTCATTTTGCCTTTATCGCCGCTAGTACCCATACCACCGCCGTCCTTGTTGGCATGTCCCTCTTTGGGGCCACCTCCATCTTCTTCTCCAATGACCGCATTCGTCAACATCTGACTCAGCGCCACCTACGCGTCGCCCAAGTCTCCATCATCGGCCTGCTGGCCTATGGCTTTTACAATGGCCTCTCGACTTGGTTTACGACAACCTTTGAGGATCGTGACAGCTCCGCCTACCGCTGGGCGCGCGCCTTCTTCTATGAATCGGTACGCCTTGCGCTTCTTACGCCCGGAGCCCGCTGGGCACCGTGGACCAGACCTCTTCCGGAGGGGTCTCCCACGTGATAGTGCCTGTACTCTGGCCGGCATTGACTCAATGTTGATGTTCTTTGGTCGTGGTCCCTCCTCGCTTTCCCCTGTAGGGCGACATTCCGTTTGCCAGTTGTGCCTCCCTTTCCTACTGCCTGTGCTTGTTGGCCGGTTACCTCATCAAGCTCAGCACGGATGGCTCTCGGTTTTCCGCTTTTCCTCGATGCTACCGTCGCTATGTGTGGCGTGGCATCGCCTACTTTTTGGTTTCTGTCGTCAGCTTCCGATTCATTGCCATTCCATTCTTCAAGCATGTCGTACGTCCTCGCTGCGCCCCCGCCCCCGTCTACGTACCTGCCAAACAACTTTCAATGCCCCTGAATCACTTCTTCTACCCGCTTTTGATGGATAACAGACGCAGCCCATTTTGCTGGCTGGCAAGCGCTTGGACCCAACCGAAGCCTTCAACCCAAACTTTGTCACGCTCGCGTCTGGTACTCACACCCTAGGTCCGTCGCCCTCACGTTTGTCAACCCACGCACTTCATGCCAGCCGTGCGACGGCAAATTCTCGTCAATTCACTAACCCGTGTCCTTACCCTCGGTACTTTGCTCTGCACGGCACGGCACCCCAAACGTCGCCGTCCTACCATCATATTTTTCGCTGCACAGCCATGGTTGTTGGCATGTTCCTCTGTCACATCACGCTGCGCGGATACCGCGCCTACTCTAGCCTTAGCTGCAGCCTCTCCGACCAGGCCCGAACTTATCTCAGTGCCACACTTGTCGTAACTTGGCTAGGCGTACTCGTCTATAGCGTTGTTACTGGGGCCCAGGCCGGAGCTGAATACGTTCGGGTTCACTGGAAAGACGTGCCCGCCTCTCTCGTCTCATTATCCCACTTGGTTTGGTTTGCTTTCGGTTGGTTGGTCTGGCTTGACCTGTTCCCCACCGTGGTCCGCAACTTTCTCCGCCTTTTGGTGTTGCCCCTCAAGGTATATGCACCTGTCGCTTTCTTTGGGTCCTGGCATCGCGCTTTGCCTCTCCCGCTTTCTCATTTTGACATCATCTCAACACTTTCTTCCCCCCCCTTCGCTTTGCCGTGTGCGTGCACAGCTCTCGCTCAACTCCAACAACGCTCTTCGCAACATTTGGCGCCTTCTTGTGGTGGCCACCCTCTACAATCTTGAGAAGATCACTGTCACCGCCCTCATTCTCAGCTACATTCTTGCCCCCGTATATCCGAATCTCATTGCTGCTACCTGGACCGCAATCCTCATCCGGTGCGTTCCTGATGATGCTGCCTGATGCTGCTGCCCACCGCCTGCTTGAAAGCGTCATCTCGTTTCTGGGCGCTCACGTCCTCTTTCCTGCTGCTGGGGCTCCGTCGCTCAGATACATGCCAACCTACCGCAATCACCCCATGTTGACGGGGTGTCGGCGTTTGGAGGACTTTCGCCGTCATTGGATCATGGACGAGTTGGTGGCCTATTTCAATTTTGATCTTTTTGCTCGTCAAAAAACACTCAACCCAGAGCACCGCTACATCTTTGGATTTCATCCCCATGGTGTATTGCCCATCAGTATCGGCTTTGTGCAAAACAATGCCAAGTGGCGCCAACAATTTCCTGGTGTCGAGCCCGCACCAGTGACCTCATCCATTCTCCACCACGTTCCCCTAATGCGAGACTTCTTGCAAGTTGTGGGCGGCGGCGACGTATCAAAGCGGGGCATCGCCGTCACGCTACAGCGTGAAAAATCCGTCATCTTGGTCCCGGGTGGCCAGCAAGAGATGATCTATACCAGCTCTACGCGCGAGGTCGTAACCATTTGCAGCAAGCACAAGTAAGTTTTTCCTTAAAAAACCAAAAAATATCTCCCTGACATTTCGGCTCTTGTCGAGCGTTGCCATGTTTTGTTTTCTCACCTTCTTCTTTCGTACGGTCTTGGTGCAGGGGCTTTGTGCGTCTAGCTTATCAATTGGCGGCCGCATCGGAGGAACCACTGCACCTTGTGCCCATGTTCAATTTTGGAGAGAACAAGATTCTTGATAACGTGCCCGCACCCATTAGTTGGCAGCAGGCCTCGGTCCGCTGGCTTCGTGCCAACGTATTTTTTGGTCCTTGGGGCCGTTTCGGCCTCCCAGGGGTGCCACGTAACGCAGAGATGCACCTGGCTGTCGGCGAGGCACTGCGGGTACCGCGGGTGGCCCAACCTACCAAGGAGGATGTTGATATGTTGCACGGCCGCTACATGCAACTGCTCAAGGAGGCGTTTGATGAATTTAAGGGCAAGACGTCAGCCTATCGCCAGGCCGTCATGGACTTTGACCAGCCCGTGAATCTCGTTGCTCGTGAAAGCTGGCGTGGATACTCGACTGGTCTGCAGGAGCGCCATGAAACCCAGCACCTGCGAGTACTCATGGGCAAGCGCGCAGATCAGCTTGAGATGATATGGACCAGCATTTTTTGGGTGCTTGTCTTCTCCGTCATCTACTGGCGTGCATTTTTCCTCAGTGATAGTTCACTTTTAAGTCTCCTCTGAGTCGCGATTGAACAACGACCCTTTATTCGCGGCAGTCTGTCGATATGTACTGCCTCATGCCTTTAAATAAAAAAAAGTAAAGGCATGGTAGTTGGCATTTTTTTGTCGTCTTTTGAGTCTGCGTGTGTCCCCCTTGTAACATAGGCCAGGGCGGTTGGTTCTGGTGTTATTGGGTTGATGCGCTGTGCCGGACCCACCCACCTTCAGACCCAGTCTTTTTTTTTAATTCAACTAGGAAGTTTGCTTTGATGCTGTTTGCACACCATCCGTCCTTTGTCCTCGATTCCCTGCTGCATGTGACTCAAGGCATCTGAAAAACTGTTCTTGCACCCCAGAGCTCATCAGACCGCAGCAAATGATATGCTGCATGAATGCATCTCTATTCTTGCATCTGGCTTAACTTCGAGGTTTAACATTTGTGAGTGAGTGAGTGAGTGAGTGAGTGAGTGAGTGAGTGAGTGAGTGAGTGAGTGAGTGAGTGAGTGAGTGAGTGAGTGTGTGGTAGATTTGAGATCCACACGGTGATTTGCAACAACGGGCAGAAACGGCTCCATTGATTGCGTCAAGAGGGGCACGATGGTAGTCATCAAAAACTCTGTCTGTCTGTCTGTCGCAGCTTGGAACCAGAAGCACGCGCGGCGTGGCTCGAGATGGCAGGCCGTCTCGGACGGCAGGGCAGGGCAGAGCAGAGCAGAGCAGAGCAGAGCAGAGCAGAGCAGGGGAGGGCAGGTTAGGCTCGGGAAACCAGAGACGAGCACGGCCCTTGAATATGAGCGCGTTGATCTTTGATCACTCATCGCTTTCCGTCTTAGCGAGGGTCTTCATGACATCGGCAGGCGACTTGATGATGCAAACCGTGCCGTCAATGCTAGCTGTGGCCAGACACATCTGTGGGGAGGCAAGATTCAGATGCATGTGCTAGATAGAACAAGGAAAGACGCAGCGCGTGTGTGAGCAGTATACGGTGACTCACCGTTTTCGGATGAAAGGAGAGAGCGCAAATGACATTGCGATGGAACTGATGCTTGAAGAGTTCTTTGCCATTAACCTACTCGTTCCGCACACGGCACGTGAGGTGGGCCGTCCAACTCTAGGCCCAAGCCATAGCAACAGCCCAGTCTTGAAGAGCTATCCAGCACGTACCAGGTCCCAGAGGTGCAGGTGACCGTCTTCCGAGCCCGCGGCAACAATGGCATCATTATAGGATAAGCCACAGTCAACCTTAAACTCCGAGTTGACGTGACCCGTGTAGCTGCCCAAGAGGCTCCCATTATCCTTGTCAAAAAGTCTGTACATCAACCGCATTCCATCGTGATGCGAGAGTGAGGTTTCGGTCACTTTTTTAGCGCACAGAGGGGAGGCGGCACTCAATCAAAGGCAGGGCAGGTTGAGTTGTGTGGGCCGGCGAGCACACGAACGAACCGGACATATCCGTCGAGGCTCGCAGCGAGGATGCAGTTGTTGTCGTGGGAGAAGCGGACGCAAGTGACGGGGTCGCCGACTGTGTCAGCTCGAAGCTTGCCCATTCGCATGTCGTAGTTGCGAATGACACCATCCACAGAGCCAGTGAGGATTTCGTGGCCACTGAGATCCAAGCCGGGCACGCTGCGAGTGTGGGGAGAGGCGGTTCGGCGTGAGTTGGGAAGGCCCTGCTCGCATCGGTGCTTAAGATAAGTTGTCACACGTGTAGGAAGTGTGTCAACTGCACCTGTCGGTGGCTTCGGGCAGGGTCTGGACTGGCTCGTGCTGGGCGCTGCGGAGGTCCCAGCACTTGACGGTCGAGTCATAAGAGGCAGAGACAATGATGGTGGCGTCCTCGTTCAGGCGTACATCATTGACGGGCCCAGAATGGGCGCGAATTTTGCGAATACATTGCCCCGTGGCCACATCCCACATCATCACGGCTTTGTCACTGCTACCCGACACGAACCGCGAATTGTCGCGAGACCTGCAAATGGATGAAAAATGGCGTGAGGGGCGCTGCAACAATGGCAGGGCGCAGCGCAGCTGGGGGAACGCACGCTTCAGCACTGTTGACTTCCAAGGAGTGTCCTTTATACGTCTTGATAAGCAATTGGGTGTGTGGGTTCCACAGTTTGATGAGGCGATCGCGGCCTGCCGTGAGGCAGTAGTCACCCGAGGCTGTGGACGAGCCACCAGGGTTGGCAGCATAATCAAGCGACCAAATAGCAGGACGGGATCAATGAGGCAGAGAGGCGACAACAGCAATCGAGTACAGTGGCAGTCGAGGGAACAAACCGTTGAAGCGAACGCCCATGACTGCTCCCTCGTGGCCATCCCGGCCCTCGAGTCGGGCCACGAGCCTTGAGGGCAAGAGCTGCTCCTTTGTCACAGGAAACGCCATTGCCGGTTGGTCTCACACCCACAACCCAGCTGAATCAGCCGTGCCTTTCCAATATCTACCCGCTGAAGCACCGCGACGCCTTTCTGGGGCGGCACTCACTGACACACACACACACACACACACTGGTGTCACGGGAGCAAAGCCACACACACACACAACGACACAAAACGGAGAGAGAGAGAGAGAGAGAGAGAGAGAGAGAGAGAGAGAGAGAGAGAGCGCGAAGTAGAAAAGCTGACATTATAGACAGTCTCACTGACTTCGTCCACTGTCGTTTCTCTGCGGACAAGGGTGCAGCCGTAAGCCCGATCAGGGATCAAGCACCCACCGCTGGCTGTGGTGGTGATGGCCATCAGTCTGGGTGTACTTGCAGATCGCTTCTCATCCTTTCGTGTAGCTTCCTTGCAGCGCCACAGGCGTTTGTCCTGATTTGTGGAAAGCTTATGTCATGTTAGCACATTGAGGGCTACTGATCACCTCTTTGACCACCCTCCCCAAGTTTGATGAGCTCCTCGACGCCGAGGCTGCAATGGTCCCAAGGTGTTCCGAGGATCGCGGTCTATTGCGTCCCAGCTCGCGGTGATCTGCGATCCCAGTGATGGCGATCGCTCACGTTGGCGATGCAGATGCGTCCGGTACCCCACCTCCCCTTTGCTGCTGCCTGCCCACTTGCATGTTACGGCCAGATTCTTGCGTTGAGGCCTTGGCGACCTGCAAGCCTTGAGAGGTGCCGCAGCGAGGCGGACAGATTTGGTGCGCCAGGACGCGGCTGATGACGCTTGCAGCGGCTTCGATCGCGCGCTCGGCTGCGGAGCCAATAGGTCTTGCAAGGCACAGCCAGCAAGTGATCATAATCATCTCTCGTTGCTTGCCGCTTTCCTACGGTACCCAGCGTCCAGCGTCCACTGGAACGCGTGGGCGGCCCACCGGTACTAGTGGAGCGTCGGTGAGTGTTGTGACATTTTACATTTGATACGTCTTATCATCATCAACTACAACATCTTCAGCAACTCCAACGACAGCGATTTTTGACCACTCGAGCGTTTTTCTGTTTTCTTTAACTTTGACTGTGAGCCAACATCAACATGGCGACCCGCGCTGCTGCCGACCAAGCCACTCGTGCCGTGACCGACACTGCGGCTCAGGCCTCTCGTAATGTTCGTGTGACTTTGGCCAAGGACCCCAAGCTGGGCCCGCTTTTGACGATTGTGGCTGCCACTGTGGGTGCGGCGCTGTCCGTCAGTGCCACCAACTTCCGTCATGCCGATACTCGCCACCGTGACATGCGCAAGGACATCATCTCAGATGAGACCATGGCGGCCATGCCTGAGCGTGCCAAGGAGGCTGGCGAGGGCTTCCTCCGCAGCATTTTGTACATTCCCGGCTACGGTGACAACTTTGAGCAGACCGACTTTGTATAAGCACGACGTGTTTTCCAAGAATCTTGTCCGTTCAAATAAAAAGTCCTGCGTGCATCTTGTGCCAGGTTGAGCGACTGTGCTCATGCCATATCTGATTATTTTTTATTATGTTCGTTCCTTCAAATTGTTTGAGTCGCATGCACGTGTGTTTCGCGTCATGTCCACGATTGTTTTGGTTGCTGCTTTGAGCTTCCGACCAGACCCTTCATTTCTCTGCCCCGAGGGCCCGTGTCTGTCTCTTGCTGTTACGAGGCATTGTATTGTATATGACAATTGCAAGTCAATGTGCTTTGTTGTTCATTTCTCGTCGGCTGCTACGGCAGCCCGAATCGACCACAGAAGTTTACAGTTCCGTGTAAACACCAACCCCGCACGCACACACTTAAAAAAGACTTAATGGTTAGTACAATTTTGAATTCATGTCAAGAGGAGCGAGCAGTAACACAACAGAGGGCAGGAAAGATGCAAAGAATCAATCACAGGAAGCAGAAAAAAAAAGTCTCTCGGAGAATTTTTTTTGGGGGTTTTGGATGAGGAGGGAGGAAAGGGGTTGAATCAGCTAGCAACTCGAATCAGCCACGGGAGCTGTTGCCAGCGTCTTCCTGCTACTTGGAGGCATGCCTATCATTTTTACATAAAGGGCATGCCACCCACGCCTAGCATGGCCTTCAGAGGTTCGAGTTGCAGACGGCGCCAGCCATCTTGGGTGCGCTCAATGTCACTTTCCGGAACCTCGCTATGCTGAATGGACAAGGAAGTCTTGCCCTCGGCCTCGGACAAGTCAATGACAACGTCCGAGTAATGACCTGGGTTCGCAAACCATTCGAGGTATAATTATGGTGAGGTCAACTTCTCTTGGGGGTGGCAGATGGCTGTTTTCACGGGAGAAACGAAGCCAAACATACCTTCAGGCCAGGACTCGAAGCGCCAGGCCTGATGCACGCGGCGGTAGGGCACCAGATCCTTGATAACGCCTTTGACCGAACCGTTGAACATGGTGAAAGAACCGCCAATTCGGCTGTCTACCTTACATTGTGACTGGGTGTAGGCGGAAACCCGCTGCTCGGCCGCAATCAAGGTCAGAAATTCCAAAAAGAAAGAAAGAAAGGGGAATGTGCATGAGAATTTTTTTTTGAGTTACCAACAGCGGGAAGCAACGAGTGAGAAGCGAGTGAGACGGGAACGGTCAACGGTGTGAGCTGTACGTACGTCTTCGTTCATGAGGGTTTCAAAAATGAGCTGCGCCGGGAGGGGGATGGTGTCACGAATGGAAAACGACTTGCAGCTAAGATTCCCAGCGCCGTTGGTCTTCTGTGAGTGAATCTTCACGCCAGTATTGGGCTTGGAAGTGTCGCCAGCGCCAGCGTCCTTGCTGGTGGTGGGGGCCGAAACACTCGTGGCGGCGGCGGCAGTAGCTTGCTTGGTGGGCAGGACGAGGTTGGTGCTGTACTCTTGAGTCAGCTCGCGGTACCACTTGTGCAGTTGTTCCACCACAATCGCCGGCATACGTTCGCGCAAGAGGCTCTTGACAGCATCTGAGGCCTTGTTGGAATCGCTCGTCATGGTAACCTCGGTCTGGAACCGTTCAGGGAAGGAGGGGCAAAGCAGCGTCATGAGCATAGGGCTATGCCAGTGCGGGACAAGAACTACACAACGCTATAAACATCTTAGGTTTTAAACCCCAGCCGTGACTGTCGAGATCCTGGGACATACGTCGACTTCATCGATATCATATTCCTCCGAGAGGTTGGGCACCTTGATCTTGCCAGAGCAAGCCTGGCCATCGGCCGTTTTGCCACGCCACTTGATATCAATGACCAGCTCGTAGAAGAAGATGAGCTTGGCCTTGCGGTTGCTAAGGGACAAGCAAGCAGAAGGGCAGGGTTGGTTCTGTCGAGCAACCAAAACCAGCTCTTCGCAGTGCAGGGGACACGGCAGGTCGATCCATACGTACTTGGCAGTCGCTTCGCCAGTGACAGTGACTTCGGTAGTACGAGCTGAGCCTGTGGTGAACACGTGTACGAGAACGCGAACGGCGAATGAGCACAATTCTTTGCTGGAGCGAGCCTTGAAGCAGAAGATTGTGTTACTGCCGGATAATAAGAGGCCAAGGGGAGGCTTTGGTTGAAACCAGAAGGCGGTGTAGCTCACCAGCATCAGATTCGACGAGGAGGTCGGAGAGAAGTTCTTTGAGTCGGTTTTTGGACCAGGCTGTGGCATCCTTCTCGGACCTAAGGGCAAGGGGGCCAGTGAGGGACGAAACTGGAGACTTATGGCAGCTCATCAAGGAATGTGACTGGCCAGGCTGGGATACAATACGTACCAATGCCAGTTTCCTGGATTCTTGGCGTCGGGGCGTTCCTCGACGATCCAGCGCGGGTCACCTTCACCCCACTTGGCCATGATGCTGGGGAGGATCCAAAACGAGGGAAGGGGGCTATTCAAGTCGATGGGCCGAGAGCAGTTGGGGGAAAAAAATGAGCGGGGCCTCAGAGAGAGCAGGGGAGGGGCGAGAAAGGGAGAAGGCTAAGATGAATATGTGAATGCCAGGTGCATGGGGACTGAATGGTGTCTGATGGCAGCAGAAGCGAGCCACAGGCGACAACACTCGGCCGGAGCTTGGCGGCTCAACGCACACGAAAGAGGAGGAGGGAGAGGTTGGGTGTGTGGACGACTGGACGTAAATGGGGACGGCAAAAGCTCGCTGCACTACCCTTTCCCACCGACCCAAGGCAATTTCTAGCAGCTTTGCGCTGCCCTTTTCATGCCACGTCGTCGGCCCGCAGGAGGAGGAGGGGGTCACGAACTCACCAGAACCGGAAGCGAAAATACGTGCACTCGCCAACGTGTACGACAGTGTGATAAACGTCACACTTGTAAAGATACAAAGTGTGATATCTGCTACAGTTGACTGGCAGTGAAAAGTTCTGGAAGCACGGTGGAGATAAAGATGAGGACGACGAGGTAAATGTATATTTGTTAGAGTGTTGTGAGTGAATTTCTGTATCGATCTGTGGCGTTCTTGTTGTGACCATCTGCTTACCATCGCTTGACGAATGTTTGTCAGCATGCACCAACGCAGTCGGAGACACTTTTTCACCTGTTCATCGAGACAACTTCGGTCACGTACCAAGTGTCATCCCTTATGGTTTGACCGTTGAGATTCGTTCTTCCGTTACAATTTCCGTTGCATTTTCCTTCTCCTCAACGGTGAGTCCCCACCCTTCCTCATTCCTCGCATGCGCTGCCATTTATTGATGCGTGAACCATCTCACCTTGCCTTTCTTTTCTTTGCGTGCAGCCATTATGGCGACTCCTTCTCCGGTGTCTTGTGCAATCTGCAACATGCTTGTCTCGGATTCCAATGAGCAACGCCATGTTCAAACGCACCATTCCACTCCACCCGATCTCCGCCGCCCTTCCGAGTGCTTTCCTTCTCTGAACTGGATTGACTGTCCTGCGCCAGGATGTGTGTGCTCAATGCGCAAGGGCGATCCGCTGATGGCGCACTACATTGAAAGCCATCCTGTACATGCCAACGAAAATTTGACCACCTTTTTTCCCAGCGCTGTTTGCTGCGACTGCGGCCACTGGTCCTTTAATCGCGTCTGCGCCAAAAGGCATCGCTCTATGAAGCATCGTGATGCAATAACGCATCCCCCCAAGGTCAGCTCCCGCGTCTTCGTGCTCGGACATGCACTACGCACAGTGCAATTGATCCTTTGGCAGGCCTGCCTCATGGAACAAATCCCGAACAAGTGCCTCTCAATCTTATTTTCTTTTTTTTTTATCGTGCCCGTAGAAGAGACTGTCGTGCACTCATTGCAGCAGGATGTTCGCTACTACAAGTGGCCTTCGCTCTCATTTAATAAACAAGCACAATATGGACAAGGTGAGCTGCATATCCCTTGTGGGCCATGAGCGCACGACTGGCTCGGTTGAA